CAGAATTCCCCAGCCAGCATTCGCTGGCTGGGGAATTCTGGGAGTTGAAGTCCAGACATCTTCAAGTTGCCAAGGTTGAGAAACACTGATCTAAAGAACACTCAGTTAAATATGTCCTGGAATGTTAAGGGAACATACCAAAATATTACTGATTGCTTCGTGTAGGTCAGGATATGTGAAACTTGAACAACTTATTTTTTTATTAAGAATGTTACTGGGTAATCAATTATAAACATATATGATGAAGTGCTCAGTTTTTCTGGGATAAAGACAGTCTAGGTACGAAAGATGAGGTAGAAAAACACTTTCAAAGAAACTCCACCTTAACTCATTTTATATGGTTGAGAAGTTGATTCCTATAGTTTTGAAGATTCTCTTTTTACCCCAGGCTGAGAATAAATTCACTTTCCTGAAAACCATTTCACTCTTCCTTTCTTGATTTTGTCAACTACATGGGGCTTGTCAAAGATTTCTTATGCAGAATTACCTTCCCATTTATTTATTTTATTTATATCAACTTTTAGTTTTGTACAACTCCACTTGATATACATACTATTCCCACCTGTTTTTGCTCTACAACAGCAATTTTGTGACTTGGATTGGACTGAGACAGATAGAATGACTGGCCCAAATTTACCCAGCTGGTGTTCATGCCCAAAGGAGGTTTAGAACTCCCTATGGGCTCACAATTTCTAGTCCAGCCATTACACCTAACTGATTCAAATAAATGTGCTTAATTTATTATGAGATTATCAATTAATTTATCACCAGTTAAATTTGCAGACATTTATATATCAGCCAATTTTTAAAAAAATAGGAAAAAAATTACATCTTCATTTTCTTTCCGTGCCTTACTTATTTTCTCAATCTTTTGCTAAAATCGACTTTCCCCCCCGTCATTTAATATCTGTACATATTGAGAGTGCAACTCTTTCAATGTTTATAATACCCCATTTTCAATGGTAAAATATAATCAGAAGTCTTATATTGACAATAAGAGTGTCTCTGTGTTGACATGAACTGTGTTTGTAAAATGAAGCCTTCTCTTTCTGTTTGAATTCAGGGGGGAGAATTGGTAGCTGTTGTAAGAGGAGCAAATGCACCATTGTTACAGAAAACCATTCTGGAGCAGCTACAAGCAGAAAAGAGAGTCTTGGATCATGGAGCTGAGAGAGTGGTGGTAATTACAAGTCTTGCCATTTAAGTAGTATGATAGTAATGATAGAGTTGGGAGAGTCCTTAGCCCTTCAAGTCCTGCTCTACTGCTATATCATGGTGGTGTGATGTTCCTAGGACAAAGAGCGCCAGAAGTATATGCCAAGCGTATGAATATCCAAAAGGATCACTCAGTCTGAAGGTTACCTCAGATAAAGTTAACACATAGTGATACTGGGCAACAGTGATACAGAAGATGCTGGAAAAGGTTGACAGGGTCACTTTAGTGGGGTCATTTCAGTGACAAGAGCAAAATAATTATTGTGGACAGTTCTGCTAAGACCTTCTGGAATATGGAGGCAACTTCTCAATTATTGCCCTCTTTCTATGGAATAGTATCTCCCTGGAGATCATATTGTCCCCTATGTTTCAACAGGCCATTGGAGGCTGTAGAATTGAATGTTTACATCCCTTAGGTAAAAGCTTGTTGACTAAATTATTTCTTGGGTATAGGTTTTTCCCTTTGGATTATTTATTATTCAAATGTTAATGTTATGGTGTTGCATTTTTATGTTTATTAGCAAAATAAATAAGTAACACAGGAATGGTGACCTTTGAGAGAAATTGAGACCCTTGAAAGAGTATTATTCTTGTCTACAAGAATAGTGATATTTTTAATAGTGGCTAGTATTGAAGCTATAGTTCCTAGGGATCATGGGATCTTTTGAATTTTGTAGTTCAGAATGTTGGATTGAAGTCTGTCTTAGAGCTTAAATTTAAATTAAGTTGAAATTAAAATTAATTGATGAAACTTAGTATAGTTGGGGATGGTGCTATTGACCCTATGAGATCTCTGTTATTGCTGCTATTTCAGGTTAAGTTTGTGGCTCTACCTAGTGAGGTAATTACTTAAGCTTGTCACCAAACTCAGTACATTTTACAGTAAATATATGAAATATTTGCATTCTGTAGGGAAAAAGGTCACCAACCATTACTAAAAATAGCTGCAACTGATTGCTGAGAAAACAATGTTGCTTTCTAATACAGTCTATAATTTGCATTATTTTACATTATGTGGCTAGATTCATGATGAAGCCCTTCCTAAACAAGAAGAAAGTGCTACTGTTGGAGAAGGGATGGAAGAAGACAGTGAGAACGAAGAAACAGGTATGTTGGTCTAACTTATACAGAAACATAATCACCATTGTCATTAAAATGCTGCCTAGTAAAGCAGACTTTCAGATACTTCAGGTTCCACCAATGTTCTTGCCCCCACACAGTATCCTCCAGATGTGTGTTTCATGCTGGCTGGAAACCATTAATGTTGCTGTCTAGGATACCTAGAAAATATGAAAAAGCAATTTTTACATAGCATTATTATTTCTCTCAGGGATCATACATGCAAAAAAAAAGTTTTGTATTGTCACATAAGTAGTTATCTCATCTGAGCTTTGAATGTTTTCTACAAGTTTTTCATTCAATTGTGTATCTTGACTGAAAAGCTAAAAATTAGTTTCATAGCAAGGAAATACCTTGTATTTGTTATTATCTTATTGTCTATTTTGTGCAACTCTCTTACAGACAACCTGGATCAGAGATTTTCAGCAGAAGTGAACTGATGGTGTAGTTTTTCCACCCTGTGCCTTCCACCCTGCTAGCATTCCAGAAGACCATACACTTTGTTGTTTTCCTAGGCTATGGAGTAGAGTGGTTAGAACTTGCTCCACTGGATATTAGATATTAGAAAATTTTGGAGTGACTGCCAGGTTTGCCATCTTGTTCTTCTTTTTTAAAATATAAAATAGTTTGGTTTTGTTGTACAAGTAGTTCTTGACTTATGACAACTGATCTAAATATTTCTGTTGCTAAGCAAAGCAGTTGTTAAGTGAGTTTTGTCCCATTTTATGAACTTTTTGGCACACTTGTTAAGAGAATCATTGCTGGCATTCCAGAAGACCATTGACTTTATTTCTCAGAAATTGTCTGGAAGATTTAAAAAAATGGTGATCCCGTGATCCTGAAACAGGGCAACTGTCATAAATATAGGCCAGTTGCCAAGACCCCAAATTTTGATCACATGACCAGGGAGCATAAGTCACTTTTTTCAGTGCTGTTATAACTTCAATGGTCACTAAACAAATGGTTTTTAATCAACTACTACCTGTATGTGATTTTTTATTATATTGTTATATAATACAATAACAATAAATAAACAATAAACAAGTGCAAATGCACATGTTTTTCTTTTCAACATTTGTCATTTATTGTTGTATTATTTTATATATTATGCTATATTACATCAACTGCCAGAGAGAATACCAATGATCATTTTATTAAATCCAAAGCCAGCAGATTACAGTGAGTTACTGGTCTCCAGAATGCCTAGTATAAAGGCTACAAGATTACATTGCTCTTATACAGAGCTTTAATTAAATATAGTTTCCGTATGCTTTTATAGCAGTAGAAGATCCTAACTATGGATATGGGTATGCCAGGAGAAACATAAAAGGAAGATGGAGTGGAATGGGGTATTTAAGTAGTGTGTGTGTGAGAAAACAAGAATTGAGATCAAGAATAACCAAGAATGATTGGGTGAATGTGGATTAATTCCCAAGCAAGTACAAAAGAAAATATTATGGTGGTTGGTGAAGATCTGAATCATAAAATAAAACATATGAAACAGGAGCGAATTGCTTAAGAAAAAGATCCTCAAGTGATAGCAGTTGAAATCTAAAAAACAAGTAGCCATATAAATGATACCATTTTGTATTCATACCAAGGATTCGTAAAGCAGTATATATACTGAAAAAGACAATTGAATAGAATACAAGGAAAAGGAAGAATATTTTTAAAAGTTTCATTGCTTATTGAATTTGTTATAAATATTTGCATAAATAGTGATTTATGTTTATGTAGATGTATATAAATTTAAAATGTGTCAATATGTTAATCATGGCATTGTTTCAGTCCATTCCCATTCTGAGAAATAACTGAAATTGAAATCCATTGAAAGCAATGGAATATATTTTGAGGCAATTTTAAGTACAGGATGGCATCATGAAATGGTTTTACGTTATCACTCAGGGAGACAAGACTAGGCTTTGTAGCCCAAGATGTGCTCCTTCTATTGCATCTTTAGGTAGCGTACTACTGCACTGCATAAACAGTCTTTCAAAATGCCTGGATTGACGACGGTAAATTTCACGCAAGCACGTGCATCTTTCGTTGCTGCCAGAAGAGGGTGCTATAGAAACAAGGCTCGGTTGATATGAGTCAGGGCGGACGCGTTAAGAAAGCGCCGGGGAAACAGTTTCTTCGACTTCGGGCGGAAGTGAAGCCTGGAAAGGGGCCGGGGGTGTGGCAGCCACTACTACAGCAACCCAGTGTCAAAAAGGGTTTCCTGGGAAAGTGGTTTGGTGAGCCCGCTTTCTTCTCTGCGTGTTAAAGGACCGGGAACCGGACGGCTCGCTGCCGCGGCAGGGAGTTTTGGCTGGAGGGAACCCCGAGGCTTTCTCCCGAGAGCAGTAGCTGTCTGTCGGTAGCCGGGACACCCACCGAGCCTTCCACGTAAAGCAGCGGAGCTTCTCTGAAAGCGGCTGGAAGTGCCACGGTCGGTGCCGCTCTTCGTTGTGTACGGCGTGTATTGTCCCTTTCCTTGCAGCCTTTTCATCCTTCCTTGTCTTGGATGCTTCAAGCTGGTTGGTGCTGTAATCGTGGATTCCTGCACTCGGCGGGCGATTAGGTTGGACGGCCTCTTGCCGACCCCTTATGCTCTGCAATGAAACGCTTCTGTAAAATCTGATGCGTTAGCAAAACACGGTGAAGAAAGATCCATTCACTTGAGCCTGTTTAAATCTCTCAAGTATCGGAAGGAGGCAATAGCCAATCGCTTCCGGGAAACAGAATCTTGCCAAGGAAACTGCAGGCACTTGTAAACTGTCAGCCTCTGAGAATCTGGCAAGATTGAATGGAAAACGATAAAGTATAGAGTAGTTATCCTGACGTACTGAAAAACCTGCTAGTGCTCTGGCTGAACCTTTATGAAGTATCTTTGAGAAATCCTAGAGAACGGAAGAAGTGTCAGGCAAATTGATGGGAGGGAAGCATTTTTGCATCTTTAGGAGATAAAAGAAGGATTTGGGGAACTACAGATCTGTCAGTATGATATCAGTACTTGGGAAGATTATCCTTACTTTTTTTTTAATAAGGCAGATTCCTATATAGATTGTGCAGATGCTGTAGATATAGGATATATTGATTTCAACAGGATATTTAATGTATATGACATTCTGATTTGTAATTTGTTGAAATTTAAACCCGATGGTAGTAGGTAGTAGGTTTGCAATAGTGCTCAAAGAGTAGTCATTAATAGTTCTTTATCAAAGTGGAATGAATTATGGAGTGTAAACCTCTTTTTTGTTGAGTTTTGGGTATTCTTCTTGTGTCATATCCTTCATTGGACATTGGCAATCATGTTGACAATCCTATTTGTATCAACAGCCACACACACAAAAAATGCTGTTGAGTTTTGTCCAAACCAGTCCCTTAGATTTTGGGCATTGGACTATTATGTAGTTGTTCAATTCCTTTGGAATAAAACAGGGTTTTAATCAGCTGTGGATGGAAGTAGTGTTCTCTTGAGTTGTGTCTCAGGGTTAGCTTCTCTTTCTCCTGGTATTCAATTATATTGGTAGAGACCATCAGTTCAGGGTGTAATATTACTACATCGATGTTATCCAATGTTATAGTTCTACCTCGGACTATGCTGGAGATGCTCTTGATGTTGTGCTGGTGTCTCTGGTTTCTGTTAAGATCTCTGTCAGTCCTTCAAGTTAGGCCAGATCAAGAAATGGACATCGCAAGGATTTTAGGAAAGTGATCTTTTTTTTATAGGATATAGTGAAAGGTCCTTGAAAGCTTCTCTTTCTCCCATCTATCACCAAACAAAATCAAGATGGGATTATTTTGAATTACCTTTCTCTCACTGTAACTGTTTTCTTTAATTATACCTTTTGTCTCCTGTAAATGAATTTCATATTTTTCCCAAAGCCATTTTCTAAATTCTTTTAAAGACTCTGTTTTCTTGATGGGGAAGTACTATTCTTCAAGAAACAAGTTTGTGACTTAGTCCTCCTGGACTCATTACTTTTGTTAATGACCTGTTCTTTAAATTGCTTTTGTTGTAGGCAGATTAGGTCCCACTTCAATTTCACTGTGGAGGAAGCTCAAAACATTGTTCTTTCCTGTTGACTGGTTGATTACTCAGATGCCATTTGGGTTTGAAGGCATCAATGAATAAAGATTTTCTTATACTTTTTAGCTTTATTTTTACTGTGGATGTTTTATTGTTATTTTGCTTATCATGGATATTTTATTGTTTACGTATTTTATATGCTACATTTCTAATTACTAAAAATCTTATAAGATTTGGTGATATAAAAGTTGAAAGAATGAATTGCCCAGGCCGACTGGTATTTCATCTGAAACCACTGCTCTGGGTATAGTGCCACAGCTGATTTCTAGATATTACTATACATCTGATTCATAATAATATGTATGGACTTTACTATTACTATTCTACAGTTTGCATTTTGTAGAAGTACTGACCTTTTCTCTTATATTAATTAGAGGTGCCATAAATGATCAATTTTTTTCTATATTGTTAATTGCAGACTATGTCAATTAAAGATTGTTGGGCAGAAACACTTTAAACTTTCTATCAACTGGCTGATTAATATTGCTGGAAATAGGAAAGATGGAAGAAGCTTTCAAAACTGGGACTCAAAGCCTTGATCCAGATCAAGGCTGTTTCTCTATGATGGATGAATCCAGTCAACAAGAAGCCCCTTCTCCCAAATTATCTATTACTGAATTGAGCAAAGAGTTAGAATCAAAGAGTGAGCTGGTAAGTTGTAGCTATCTATTACTATTTACAGAACAGATCTTATTCAAAGACCACTCTGCATTTTTCACAGGTTTTTTTGGATGGGAGAGGGGGTATCTGTTCTGTTATCTGCTTTCATATTACAATTTGTAATATGCTTGGTTCATAAGTGTTCATAATAATCAGAATAATTTTTATTTGAGTAGCTCCTTTCACGTTTTTGTTATTGCTTTTTAATGTTGCTGGTTCTTGAAGCATTTGGATCAAACCATAAATACACAAACACACATAGAAACATAGGTACAGACATATGTACACACAGAGAGAATGCTATGCATGTAACTGAGCTTTCCTGCCATGGCTATTTGAAATGTGATTATATATATATATATATATATATATATATATATATATATATATA